AAAGAATAAAGACTTATTTGAATATTCTTAAATAGTTTAGGAGTTTATTTGAGCATTATGTATTTTGTTATAATATTTAATTTTTAAATTAAAATATTTACTATTTTAATCATTTATTAGAAATATTAATGAATTGTTATTTGAATTTTAATGTGATTATTTATTTTAATTTAAAAATATTAATAATTTATATTTCATTTAAAATTAAGCATTTTTATATTAAATTCATTTTAATTTTCTTTTCCGTTTTCTTATCGACCACCAGAGATGTGGTTGGCTAGTAAGAGAGGGTTAATATGCACTCACGATAGCCCAATAAAGTCAAGGAGAGTCAAATCGACGTTTTCCATGATCAGATTTGACCGTGGAGCACCAGATTCGACCATGAGATCTAGTTGGGAAGCGTTAAATTCGACACTACCCGCGAATGGTTTGATCAAAGAGCGCTAGATCAACGCTCCGCATGGTTGGGAAAGTGCCAGATCGATGCTTCTCATCAGCAGCGTCGTCGCCTTCGTTGGCCTTCGGTGATAGAGGGAATGTAAAAAGAGACAAAAAAGATGGGTCCAGAAAGAGAGAAAGAAAACTGGAGAAATGAAAAAATTTTATATTATATACGAGTAATTTTTAAAATTTTAAATAGGTATTTTCATCCTATTTATATTTTTTTTGAATTATCACCAGCCTGAAGTGGCAATTACCAAAAGAGAGCTCGGTAATGGCTATTTCGGATTTTGCTGAAATAACTATTTTGAAGAATAGTGATTCTATTGAATTAAATACATTTTTAAGTTAGTAATAAGAATAAGCACAGAATAGCTATTTCATTTCCTTCAATTAAACACACTCTTAAAATTTTACCTTAATGCTCAAGAACTAGGTGGAGTTGGTAAAGCTTATAGCAAATTTTTTACCTTTTTTTGTTTTGGTTTTTTTATATAAGGATTTTGAATTAGTTATACAATAAAAAATAATTTTCTCCAATTTTATTATATTCAGAATTTAAATTCGAGATTTTTAAAAGAGAATCTCATATTCTTATTTTTAAAATAGCTCTTCGGAACTTTTCGCTTTGTTTATAAATCAATAATTAGTGCGCAGATAAAGATATTTAGATTTTTAAATGAAGAAAGAAAGAAATACCCGAGAATTGCTTTTGCTATTTTTAGTGAGATTCATGAAATGGGTTTGTGCTTCATACTCATCTTATGTCTTGCAGCTGGTGAAGGAAATAGACTTACATCAAGGCCCAAAAAAGACTAAAACCATTGAAGAAGAAATTGACTTTGGGCATTTTTTTAAGTTAGAAGTCTTAATATTTGGAAAGATCAACATATATATAACATTTGAAATTAAAAAAATAAAAAAGAAATCAACATATTTAACAGTTAAATTTCGTGCATTTTCCTTTGGTCACCCTGACCATGTAAAGGAAAGGATAGAGGGCTCCGTCTTGGATAACTGAAATTTTCCTTGATCCGAAAACGAGAAAGGATTATTGCTACAACAACAACCAGTTCAAATAAGGAACAAAAACAAGAAGTTGTTCTAACCAATAACCAATCAACAAACATCGAAGTTATCATCTAATGCACTAAATTCTCCCTCCAGCTTCCACAAAGTTTGTCGGTATTTCGGTATGGACTTACGGGCCCAATTGAGTCCAGAAGCAAGGTCGGAGAGAGGCTAATGGCCCAATATTTACCTTTTTGTAGAAAGCTTCCTTCATTAATTTAAAGCATCTATGAGTTTAGACTGGGACCAATGACTTGGGCCCAACTACAATTTGGTCCAAAGTTTGACTTTACTCATCCTCACAATCTGTTATATTATATCTTTACTATATAGTATTAAGGGAAGTCTTAGAAAGTTTTCAACAATGGAAATTCAACATTTCCATTTCGAGAATCCCTTTATTTTTCAAATTCTAATGAATATAATATAATGAAAACTATACTAATTTGATGGCTGAAATATATTTAAAAAATTTGGCTTTTCACTTTGGCCTTCTAATAACCATTCAATCCATTTATTAGATTTCTTTATTATGAAAGTGACTGTCAAAGGATCATGGTTAAAAATGGGAAAAGTTTCAGTTTCATTGATTTAATCAATTGAATCTTGCTTTGAAGAATTCAGTCAACTTTTGGCTTAAAGGTTAAAAATATGAAAAATTTTCTTTATAATACTTATTTTTAATAGGATGAATATTTTAAAAGTATTTCATTAGGTTGATCAATTAATCAAATCTTACATATTCATATTCAATGTTTGGTTAGTAAAATCCAAGGTGACCATAAAGTGTCATGTATAATTTGAATTCAAAAACTAAGCATTGCTTTTTATTATATGTTTACAAAGAAATTAATACATTTGGTCCTCCAAAACATTTGTTTAATCAGGTTACAAAGCTGCTTTGCGCAAGGGCAGAGCTAAACAACTTTTGTTGAGGGTCAAAGATGAAGAGGAATAAAAGTTAAAATTTTTTAAAACTAATATATTGAATTTAACCAACAATCAAAAGATTTATAAGAGATGATAATTTTTTATAATATGTAAATCAAAAAAAAAAATTTACAATAGTCTTTTAAGAAAGTTGTATTCGACATTTGAAGAATAAAATGTATTTCAGTAATGAGTTATAAAGAAAAAAGTAAAATAATAATAAAAAAAATGCTTATTGTCTCCAACTTCATAACATGTGCAACCCATTAAGACTTGTATATATGCATTATGTTGTTGGTTTAACAATTAATAGAGATTCTCTGTGCTAGTTGATAAATCAATACTAGAGAAATAAATTGATTTTTCTTTCGGTATTGATGTATAGTCAAAGTGAGGTATGTCCAGTAAGAATGACACACAATGCTTGTTGAGATTTTTTGTAAACCAGAGAGCTATGGAGATTGTGCAGGAGCCATGTGTTTAATAAGGAAATGGCTCTGAGTTTTGGTTGTTCATACTAGTAGACTTTTAGGTGTATTTTGTTTCATTATACGTAATTTATCTCATATTAGGGACATGTCCTATATGTTTTTACTACAATACTACCAAAATGAGGTAACTTTTGTACACATCCATTAAGGAATGAAATTCCATCGAATGCTTTGAAAAAAAAAAAAGACATAAGAGAAGAGTAAAAAAAAAAAATGAGAGAGAAAGAGGATGTTGATTTGGAACATGGAGAGGAGCCCCGTGATCGGAAACTTGGGCTGTAGAAATCCAATTGTAAGAGGCTACTAATCAATGCTTTAGCACTTTTGGCATGCTACAGGATGGATACAGTTACGAAATTAGGATTTTGTGTGTTGGAGTATAGACAATGTCTATAAAATAGTCATATTAAAAATTTAATATTTGACAAAAATATAAAATAATTTGAATAGAAACAATTCATGTAAAAATTACACAAATAAGTGTTAAATACAAAATAAAGATATTTTTAACAATTATTACGTGCTAAGATTGAACATCTTTAATTAATATCAATGATCATTTATAAAATTGAAAGCATCTATTATTGAATCAATATCAAAATTTCGAATGATTTTCTTTTCAATTAAAATGATTAACGAATTTTTAAAAAAATCATTTAATATTTTATTATGAATCTCATTCATAACGAGTTTCATAACAAAAAATGCACCATTTGATGTTATAGTGAAAACTAGAAAAGTCAAGACAAGCCAAAGTAATCTATCAATAAGGAACTAAGCTTTTGATGGTTTGTCTTCATTCAACACTTGCATAATTCAAAAAGTGTAAATACATTTTTCAAAACGTGATTATGAAGAATATCAAGTTTGAATAGATTTAATTTTAGATGCATTTTATCATGCTTAGTAAAGTCATTAGGACAATTTTTATTTGCAGGGTTGCAAATACTTTCAATATCAAATAATTTAAAATCATTGTGAAGGTTGAAAAATGTACCAAGAGTAAGCAACTCTACCACATTCTTAGTAAATCTAGAATCTGCTTCTTGCAAGAGTGAGTAAATAGCAGCTAGAAATAAGTAAATTTGACAATCGTGCTCAATTATGGTATGATCCTTTTGAAGACAACCTTTATTTAATTTGTATCTAGCCCCATATCATGAATCTCAATTTCATATTTTTCATAATTTTTTTTTCTTTTATAATTAAGAGAGAGGGGACTCGAATTTTATTTTTTAGGTAAAAGATCATGCACCAACCAATAAGCAAAGGTTCCTATCTATCTTTTCTCAATTGTTGGATATGCTTTTTAGTAAGCAATACTAAATGAATTGCATTAAGTACGTCTTGAGACTTAAGTTATAAAGCTTTTAATAGATCATTTATTATCTCTAATAACTCCCTTATAAAATGTAAGACAAACACAAATTCAAATCACATATTAATATGTTATGAAAATTATAAAATAAGGAACAAAATTATAAAATTATTATAGAGATAAAATTATAAAATTTTTCAAAAATAAGAATATGTTATAAAATTATTGTAAAGATAAAGTTATAAAACTTTTAAAAAATAAATATTGTTATAAAAATTATAAAAATTTTGAGAGACAGGCCCTACTAGCCCCCCTCCCCTCGGGCTTTGGGTAGATGGCAATCATTGGGTTAATGCAGTTCGCCTCACTCCAATGCGTTTGTAACAACAAAAGCAGAAAATTTCAGGTTTAAAAGGACATCCTATTTAGGCTGTAGACAGATTGAAGTTCCCCTTTGAATACTAGAAATAATATTTTAACTATTTTCAGTAAGTATTTATAAATACCAATCAACTTTGATTTTTACTAATAGAGAATTCATCTGGAAGTTAGAGAGGAAAGTAGAGTGAATTGATTAATGTTAGTGAGGACGAAGCAAGGCATTATTGATTCTCACAGAAATGGGCAATATTGAGGGGTCAAGCAGAAACCGCGTGAAAATTAATCGAAGGCAAGAGTACTTCACATTTGTTTGAGTCATATGCATATGTAAGGAAAAAAACTGCCAATGGGCTTTGCAGCTGACAGCAAAAGCATGAAATCTCCGTGTTCTCTCAAACACCTGCATTGACTTGGCTCTCAAACAAAAAGAAATCAATACTAGAAAATGATCCTATTGGTATTTTTGTATGAAAGAGTCAGAAAAAGTCAAGTTTCGTATCCAGCTTTAAGAATAAGACCATATCATAACGCATACCTAGCCATTATCGGTAGCTCAAGCATTTCTCTTAACCTTCTCTCTCTCTCTCTCTCTCTCTCTCGGTTTTTCTTTCTTCTTTGCTCTTGGTGAGGTTGAATTTGTGTGACTAAGTGGCTCGATGGGGCGAGCTCCATGCTGTGACAAAGCCAACGTGAATAGAGGGCCATGGTCACCCGATGAAGATAACATCCTCAGAAACTTCATTGAGAAACATGGGACTGGAGGCAATTGGATTGCTCTACCCCGCAAAGCAGGTCTCTTTCCTCTCCTAATCATCGATCTATACTTCTTTCTTAAACCTAGGGGTCAACGCCAAAGATGATTTTCTACAAAAACAAGCGATGAGATCTGTTCATAAAATATTTAATTTAATTTCGTGGCATATATATGCATCTCAAAGCAGACTGTATCTTATATATGTACTTTTGCTTCTGTTTGTTGATAATTAATTTCTATATTTTTTTAGGGCTTAAACGCTGTGGCAAGAGTTGTCGGTTAAGGTGGCTTAACTATCTCAGACCAGACATCAAGCATGGAGGATTTACCGAGGAAGAAGATAACGTTATATGCTCTTTTTATCGTAGCATAGGAAGCAGGCAAGTACCAATTCAACACCTATATCTTTAGTTAATTTTCTTTTTGATTATATCTGAATAACTTTAAACTATGTTCTTGGTTTAGGTGGTCTGTTATAGCTGCCCAACTGCAAGGAAGAACTGACAATGATATAAAGAACTATTGGAACACCAAGTTGAAGAAAAAGCTGTTGGCAGGAAAAGTTGGACTCAACAAAACTAGCAACAATGAAATAACCACTGACAGTTCTACCAGTAATCTCAACTCGGGGCAATTTTCTGCTTCAATTCCTTCTGAAGCTGAAGCTCGTGCTTATGGGAATTCAGATTACTTGAATGCAAATGGCAGTACATCATCTTCATATATGACAGAAATGAATCACCGACAAAATTATGATTATCCCGGCTTAATCTTGGACCAAATTGATCAGTTTCCCCTTCCAGGGCTCATGGAAGTTCCAGACTATAGCACGAGTACAGCCAATAACAATTACAGTATGTCATCTTCTCAAGAAGTTTCAAGTCTTTCCAATTCATCTTCTTTTCCCATGGAGAACATGAGTTATGCTACTACTTGGTCAGGCAAGGGAGGCGCGGAAGATCAAGGACTCGTACCGGACCTTGATTTTGACGGCCCTCACGATCTTTTCAGTGGCTTGACCTTCCAAGCTAAAAGTAGTGAAGAAGATGCTCCATGCTTTGGGAACTTTTATTCTACAACTTCTCTGTCTAACAGTTATTAACCCTAATGTAATCCAAATCAATGTTGAACAGTTGAAGATGGGAAAAAGCTTTTTTTTTTTTTTTAAATAAAGGAGAAATTAAGTAGTGGTAGAATTAAGGACATAGTGGAGACAATAACTTTTATAAGTTATAATTGGATGTTTACCAGGCTATGTTCAATGTAACTGATAGTAAAGTTAAACCGGTGGAAAGTATGAAATCAGCAGCTTGTAATTAATTAGTCATGTGGGGTGTACTATTTCCTACTACACTGTTTATGGGGATTCTTCGTCAGTGGAGCCTCAGTTTTACTAAGCTTTGCTTGATTGCTAAGGTGAAAGGTTCATGAGTTTGAGGGAAAGCAGTCACCGGAATTGGTGAGTATTAGCTTCTGACTGGTCAGTCGTCACGAAAGTTGCGTTGGTTTAGCCAATTCAAAGTTGAAGAAAACGTCTCCATCTGTCAGTGATCACATAAAGCCGATGCATGATACACCCCCACTCATTTTTTTAGGATAATTTTCATTTTCTTTTTCTGGTCTTTAGGGAGTCATCGAAATCAGTTTTATGCAAGTACACATCATACTGCTATCGGCCACCCAAGTTCTCAAGCAAGACTAGTTTTTAATAGGATGAGTCAATGATCGATAAGCATGCATGTGATGTATAAACGTAACAAATTCGGGGTGGAGTCAGTCATGCATCATCAACATCACTATGACATTTTCTTGATCAACATTGTTAGTATTTGATTCGATTAGGATGACTATTCTTCACCTTTAGGGCTGCTACTGTTTGGAATATCCCTAAAACCCATATCAAACCAATATATTCGACATTCTCTAAGCCTCACAATCATCTTTGCACCATTTAAGCTACCATATACACTACACATATCTGCTGCAACTCCCGGACCCGGCCTTGTAGAAGTGGTGTACTCAATTCCTAAAAATCTATATAAATATATTATTTAATTAGAATTTTATATAATCAATGACAATAATAAATTTATTATTTTTTTGTTGTAATTTGGTAGGAAAAAGATTAAAGATTTTAAATAAATTTATCAAAAAATAATTTATCTATTAATGTTTAAATACTAAAAGATATTTTTTTCTATAATTTAAAATTTTATTAAAAAAAATCAAAACTTAAACTACTCTCTCTATCCCTTCAAAAAAATTCAAGTCTTGAGACATGTAGAAAGACTTCTTCTTCTCAATCTTTGACTATGTTTTTCATTCTCTCAAAACAACACATCTAATAATTTTTAATTCAAATTAAATTTTTAAATATTTCATATGTAAATATTTTTTGATTAATTGATAGTTTAGGACTCAAATAGAATCTAGTTAATAGAAAATAGTATTGTATGTCAAATAATATTTTGAAATTATGAATTTTTTATTTATTTATTTTTTAGATAAATTATTCGATTATTTAATTTTTAAATTTAACTTTATATGATTTATGGATATTTATACTTAGATTTGATTAATAAATAAAAACTTGTCAAATTATTAATGGTTAACATCACTCATAAAAATTTTTGAGACCGCCCAATCCATCGCTTATTTGAACACAGAAGACTTCAAAAGTTTTGCCAATATATTTTTCATCAAGGACTAAAAATTCTAATGCAGTAGTTAAGATTTTTTGTTCAGGCAAGCTTAGTGTAAGCCATAAAATTAAGAGTAGGTCTTCTGATAAATCGCTGTCCATTACCTAGCTAAACCCAGAAAATTTTACCAGAGAAAAAAATTATAGAAATTACTTATCAAGGGCAACTTTCGGTAGTCAAGTCGTGAATTATGGTCTCAAAGGATGCCAGATTTTCTAAAGGACTCATATATTCCTTATCATCCTCCTGAATATTCGTCTGGCGCGGACGAAATTTGAATACACATATCCCAAAGTTTTTCTTATCCTTCTCTTCAAAGCCAATTATCTAAGAAATAATTATCAGTGGTAGAAAAATCAGGAAAATGACTGTTTTGGAAATTCATCCCCAACAAAGTGTCTAATGTAGCATCAAAGTTATTTATTGTAGCCACATTCTTCAAACTCCTGACTTATAATTTCATAGTGGAAAAACTTTAGTTTTCGTTATGGACTGGTCACGATGAACGAAAACCCAAAGTCCTGCAAGTCAAAAGACAGGTGGGGTTAGAAGGTTTGAAGGTTCTATCTATTATTAATAAGAAATGTGATTGTCTCCTTCTCGTGAATTAGCCTCACCATGTTTGCTTCATTTTTAGCAGGTCAGTTTGACTTTGAAGTAGACAAACTGTGACCCCCAGCGACAACTTGCAGCTACTTTGCCTCGAGTCAATGCTGTAGACCCCAACTCTCTCTGTCTAGCCTTCCCCACTTGGAAGTTGGACCCTGCTTCCTTTAACTTTCCTTTGCTCCACACTAATTAATCAACATACAAACAAAAAGCAGAGAGAGAAACAGCTTTCTTAACTTCTGCTGTGGTTGCTTCCTTTACCCTCCTTGAAATACTTTGATTGTTTTCTCAAAAATTTGTTGTTGAATGAGTTGCACTTTTTTTTTTAATGGCAAGTGATCATAAAAACAAAACCAGTTAAGGCCATACAAAAAAACTGTCAAGAACAGTTTAAAAGATTGATTTCCAAAAATGTTATAGCAATAGAAAGGAAAAAATTTAACATAAATTCAGAAATTCATCAACTCAACAAAATAAATTAACAGGATGAACAAAATAGAGGCTAAACACATTCATTTTCTGAAACAGAATTAGAACAAAGTTAAAAAACGATTGAACTTGATAATCTCAATTTTTGCAAGCCCGTCAATCAAAGTATTTGCCTCTCTATTAATGTAAGTGAAGGTAAGATCCTTAAAACTTGTTTTGAACACTTTAATACAATTGGATAAAACCTTCATGCACTACGGAATAGAGTTGTGGTATGTGTTGCAACTTTATGTCACGGTGAAGAATTGATTCGCGCAATGCATGAACTTGTTTGACTTGAATTAATGTGTGATCTTTTTTCCTTCTTTTGAAAGAAATATTAAGACGTATGTGAACTTGGAAAGAAGGGTTACACATTGATGTTTTTATGCATCTCGGAATCCCCTGTTATATAACTACCACCCATTTAACTTTTAAAATAGATATCTACCTTAAAATCAATTATTAATAAATAAAGTGGTCTTTAATATATTTATGTATCTCTATATCTCCAACTTTAACATAAATGTAATTTTTTAATCACCACTCTAATATTTACCTTTACGTATAAGGACAACAAATCTAACATGTGACAACTTATCACAAAAAGCACTACCACAAAAGAAATAATAACAACGTAATATTTGTTCTGATATCATGTTTAAATTTTACGACATGCATTTAATCTAAAATCATTTCATAATAAAAAGAGTGATTCTTATTATATTTATGTATCAAAAATACTCCAACTTGACATATGAATAATTTTACCACTCTAAAATCACTATAACTTGAAAGTATTTCAATTTTTTTTAAGGTTTTTTAATTTGAGCGAAAAAGTAATTTTAATATAGTTAGATATCATGTGATTCTAGTAAAATTTTTGTGTCTTGTATATATGATGAATTTGAAAAGGTTGAAAAAATGTAGAAGACTTGCATATGATGTAGCAAAGATTATTCAAGGAAGAACTCCATCTAATTAAAAACTTTTAATTATAATTAAGAGATGGGAACTAGATCATATAAATTAGATGCTAAGACTTGGGGGACTATTTAGCGCTTCTCTACGAAGGATGCTGATTAAAGGACAATAAATTGGCATTGTGGGTAATTAAACCTTTTGAATTTTGAGATTTTGTTTTCTTTCCCAAACTTATGAATGGTGAAGGAGAAATCGAAGAGAGAGGGGAGCAGAGAGACCACTTTGCTTTCCAGGATTATTAATTACAAGGTTCAATCTGAAACGTTGAACTGTCAAAAGCCCTTTTTTTCTAGCGTAGCCCTGTGTATATATACTAGTATACTAGCCTTCAATCTGTCTTTCCTTGCGCATCAAATATTTGAATGACTTTAATTTAATGCACTGCATCCGGATTTGTTTGACCATTCATTAATCTTTTCCATGTGCCGGCACGCAATAAAGTTCCTGGAGAGACCAAGAATTCTACAGCATCTGAGTCAGTGTGTTTGACATATTTACCACATTTCATATACTATATTCACATTTATAGATATATTCACCATGTGAATTTGACTCTTGAAGCAGCCATGATCCATTGTATGGACATATTTGGTGCTAGTTTCTACAAGGCATACAGAACAGAAGCTTCAGTTATGGCTGTCATGCATTTTCGTCACGCCCTATGTAAACATAAGAATTCATTCTCCCAACCAAGGGGTCTAGGATTCTTTTGAAATTACCGGCATGGGGAACAAGATTAATTGGATAGCTTTTGAAGAATAAATATTCAACTCAGAACTAATTAGTAATAGTTATAAAGAGTCAAGATTATTGTTTTGAAGATCCTTAAAAGCAAATGATTAGGTAAACTTTCAACTAATAGCACTATTTTTCCAAGGAAACGATCACCTAAACTACATGTTCAGACTAAAAAGGCTCAGCTCTTGTGAATCCATCTGCTCCAAATATATGAACGCCTTGAAGTTTGTCTGTTGTTTGAGATTTCCAAGGAATACTCCCAGTTTCTAAAATAGACATCCATTTACCTGATGGGAATCTGAAAAGCTTGATTCAATATCACTTGGCTGTACTTGCATGACTCCAAGTCAACTAAAGAATCATATTTTATTCTTCTGGTTCTGTGATCATCTCTACTCTTTTTCGCTAATTATATGTTGTCCTCCAATTTGAAATGGGGGTGTCCCTTTGGGTAAGTCTTTTTATAAACTTTGTCAAGTCAAATTGGCGGAAATTAGCCTGGAGGGGAGGGGGTTGTCAATTTCAATAACATCTGTAATGGGGATGCCAGTGATGAACTTGGAAAATAAAAACCATGTATACCAATTTTGAACTGTCATGTCATTTAAAAGGACTGAAACAGAAACAGTGAAAATTAGAATCAAGATCACGTGATTTGACTAACCTTTTTTAAACTGGATAATTAGTTATTCGAAAGAAATTTCCAGTTTGATCTCTGGTGCAAATCATGCTGTTCATTGTTAGTTTGCTTGAAACAAACTTCTTCAGCTACAAAAAAAGTTGTAGAAATATCGAATGCTACCTTGCAAATGGCATAGTAATGGGTTCCGTGGCAGTGCTAATGGAAGACATTTCAGGTGAATTGTATGATCCTATGTAAATCTCCTCACTGAACCCTGGCGTTCTTTCCCTCTTGTGAGACAACTCCATGTCCAAGCACTGTTTTAGCTCTGTTAACACAGAGCTCATTGTAGCTCTATGCATGGAACTGAACTTGGTGTAGTGGCAAGGTGTAGTGCTTGCCATTGCCACTTCCAAAGCTTTCCAGACAGAATTCACATCAAACTCTCCATGCAGCCTTTGGTCAACAATACTTCCTATATCCCCTCTTTCGATCAGAGGACTCACCCATTGAACTATATGGATTGATTCGTCTTTCCTTATGATTGCATGCTGTCCAGTGATCAGCTCCAACAGGACCACCCCAAAACTATAAACATCACTTTTCTCATTTAACCTCTCAGAATTGTAGTACCTGGACAAATGGGGAAATGTTCAACATTTCATCTAAAAATTTAAGATTTCTTTTTTCTTTTTTTTTTGCTTTTTAACCTTCTTAAATATTAACATTAATTCTTCACCCATGACTGATATTGCGACTGCAACAGCTTAGGAAGTTAATATTCAAAATATTTATCCAAAGAGGGGAAAAAGGGGGAGCGGTGACACATACTCTGAATCTAGATATCCTGTGGTACCCATAACTGTAGTTTCTACATGACTCTGGCCATCACTGGGAAAATCCCTGGAGAGACCAAAATCTGCAATTTTAGCGTCCATGTTTTCACTTAAGAGAATGTTGGCTGTCTTCACATCTCTGTGAATTATGGGTGGTTTGCATCCATGATGTAAGTACTCCAGACCTACAAATCGAAAACTTATCATCCTGAGTTTAGTAAATTAAGCCCAAAAAGCTATTGGAACTTTGATTTATAAAAACTGCAGACCAAATGAGCGTAAAGATTCAGTTTATGGAAAATTGGAGCATATATTGTCACTATTGTGTTATAGGTGAAAATTATTCATTCATTGATTTACAAGCTTGGAAACTTTTTGTAACAGTGTCCTCTTTATGCTCAATCAAGAAGTTGAATCAACATGTGTTTTGACACGGTGCCATTGGGGCAAGTACGCATTTTGAAACTTTACAAACCTTGTGCTGCATCTATTGCTATCCGGAGTCTCATTTCCCAACTCAATGAATTTGAACTTTTATCTGCAAGCATTAAGTTGTCATGTATCTTCATGGGCATGCGTTTAAACTAAGGAATGATATATAGCCTTTACATATCCAGATTATGAAATAAAATAAGCATACATGAGAGGTAATCCTTCAAGTTTTCGTTAGCCATATACTCATAGATGAGTGCCATATTGCTTCCATCATCACAATATCCAATGAAGGAAACCAGATTCCCATGATGGACTCTCATCAAAAGCTCAGCCTGCAGATTCACAAAAACTCATAGGACTCTTGTTTATGGTAGAGCATTTGCATTTCTTGAATTTTATTCTTAACAAGATAGAGAACAAACATTACTATTTGGAGAAATTGTTTATTATTTGCAGGACCAGAAACAGAAATTTGTTGGATTTCTTTTCTGGCTGTAGGAGTCAGTTTTATCAGATTGCTTAGCCAACCACAAAAGAAAGCAATGTGAGAATAATTACATACCTCAGTTTTGAACTCTTTTGACCCTTGGGTTGATGAGGGAGAAAGCATCTTTACAGCAACTTGAGTGCCATCTTTCATGTCTCCACGATACACAGTCCCAATTACTCCCTTCCCAATGACATCTTGAAAGTTTCTAGTAACGTTTAAAAGCTCGGGATAGGTAAACTGCCACTTCTTCGATGGCAATGGTCATCCTTCACCATTGGATGAATCAGCCTCAGCCAGGCAAGTACAAACAAAAACATAGGTTCAGAATGCAGTATGGAATTTGATAGAAAGTTAGATCTTGATGAAATTCATGCCTGAACAAGGATTTTTACGACACAGTTTAAAATTACCTGATTTTCTTTTTCTTCGTAGTCTATACAACATAATCAAAGCAACTGACAGCACCAGAGCTGATAACACTGATGCAACAACTGGAACAACAATTTTCTTCTTGTTTCTGGATGAACCTGAGGCACAAAGGTTCTGTTCATCCACTCTGGAATCAAGGAAAAGGTGGTTAGATTATGTTCTACATGTGTCCATCTTGCTTCAGTTCATTGTTTTACATCATTAAGTATCAGAATTTCAAGCATTCTTTTTTCCTCCTAAACAATAGCACTTGTAAATCAAAGAAGATAAACGAAAGCATAAACATCTTCTAGCAGATATGGAAATACAAACCTCAGGGTAAGAAGTCCAGCCCTTGCTCTCTCTACAAGCTCTGTAGGAACATAACCTGAGAGCCGGTTGCCTTCTAGATTCCTACAAATGCATAATGTAATTATTGTTACATCCGTTTGTCCTTAGTTGTTTTGCTATTACTCCTAATGCTCCATAACCTACAGGAAATTCAGAGATTTAAGTTCTTTAAGAAACTCAGGAACTGGTCCAGTTAAGTGATTGTTTGACAAATCCCTGGCAGAAAATATTGCTTAATAAACATTGGGAGCTATGAGAAAGTCTTGTTAAGGATCAGTGTAGAAATATATTTCATACTATGAGAACGTCTTGCTCAGGAACAGTGCAGAAATATATTTCAACAATATGAGTTCTATGACATGTATACTTACAGGGACTCAATTGATGATAGGTTACCAAATGAAGCAGATATCATGCCACTTAGTCCCCTTGAAGTCAAGTTACTGCTAACATTGTGAAAGAAATTCTTAACACAGAATGAATTTCAGCAGGAGGAAAGGTTATTGCTAGAAAACTCACAGAGAAATGATCCGAGGAGGAAGTGAAACACTGTAGTTGCATTCCAGACCCTCCCAGCTATAATTCTTTGGTCCACATGGATCCCCCACCCAGCTTTTATTTACTTGATATGTTCTTTTGATATCAAGGACAGCATCAGCTGTGTGGAAGGATTTATTAAAATTGCAAGGGTGTGAACTTCAGCTTTCAAATTTGAGCAAATTAAAAGGCAGAAGAAATAAAATGCAGCATCAAAATCTATCCGAGGATTTTCTGGATACCTGATTTTGATTAATCCTAAAACATCATAGTAGGATAAACATGCTATGTGCACAGCAATAGCAGCTAACTAACTCAGCCTAAAGTAGAACAAGGCCAGGTAACTAACCAGAAGCAATAACAGAATACTGAAAAGTTAATCTGCTAATATATCCAAGCAATCCCTCTTTTATACTAACCAAAAAAAAAAAAAACTATGGTAAAGCATTGCATTTCATTCAGCTAATAAAGTTGCAGAAATCATACCATCTTCAGAAAATGTTGGCAATTCCTCCTGTTGTTTGGCCATGTAAATCTCAATGGCATTCAGAATAGGTGGAAGGGTTGCATCTCGTGTTCTATAAATAGAAATCTGATGTTCTTTCCCTATAAAGGCTTCTGAGTTAGATATTGTGGCTGCATACAGGTAACGAGGAACTAAAGGTCCGAAGATTAGAGACCCATTCCAGGATATATTGAATTTTGTTCGGTTTTTCTCAAGCTGCTGCACTTCAGCAAAGTACATGTAAACATAAAATTTACAAGTGTCTCCATCAGATGTCCACGATAATTCCAATGGATCACTAGCATTATGAGGCATTGCAGCTGTGCGAATGACTTGGTATGGAGCTTTGTATCCATTTTCATTACTGTTAATTGCCGAAGAAGTGCTAACCAAGTCCCAAGAAGGAGAGTTGTATGGAGACCAAATGCGATCATGGATATCATCACTACTTTATCGACCAGTTCCATTTACATAACCAATGTCCAATCTTTTGAAGAGTACTAATGAACCATTGCTCCCAAATTCTGTACTATAAACGGAACTATTTAGTGGCCTAAGCTCCAATGCTGATATAAAAGGAATTCCTAGACCTTTATTCACAAGGCAAACACTCAACAGTATCTGATACTGCAGCAGTGATGATCTCTGTCGTTACTACGTCAGAAGCATTCCTGAATTTAACAACTGACCGGAGATTAACATCAAGATAAAGATCAAATTCTGGACCTTATCTTCACCATCAGAGTTTCCATACAAGAACGAGGCTCTAATCAAATATAAACTGCCCTTTCGGCCACCTGTAAATGCCAAGGTATAACAATTCTTGTTCCCATATGGAAAACTTCTAAGATCTGAAAGTGGCAGAGCTAGGTTTGGATTGTTAGGGTACGCATACTCAGAAGAAATGTTCTTGTTGATCCCCGTGTCCATGTCAGCTGCATCTGATGCATAACTTATGCCAGTATCATAGTCTATATAGTTGAAATTCTGAGGTGAGCCGCAATCAATGCTTGTGTACCCTGAAGAGAAGAATTTCCATGATTTCATTAAAATGAACTTGTTTTCTCTTTCTGTTTACTAACACAAGCTCTATCATCTAAGATTCTTCAAATTTGAACTTGGAAATTGATCCTGAGCCATCAAATGTAACAGTTTTAAGTTAATCATTATGAATCATGTCATACTTCTTTACGGTGGTGAATCTAATTCTAATCTCCAATCCTACAAAAACAACTCTCTTGAAAAAGACAAGCTCAAAAGGAAATATCAAAGAGATTTAAACAGAAGTTCTATGTCTATCTCTTGTTTTGTTGGCCCTCATGTCATTAAGCATCTCTTTTTCATTCAAGCTTTTCGGTTTTGTCATACACCTTTTTTAGCTTGTGTGATTCATGCAGCCTACTGCCTTCACTGGTATATGGTGGTGGCTTTTATTGGTACCATGCCGTGCTTGTAACTATTGCTGCTTTATGCAGTTTATTAATGAAATCTATATCTTGGCTGAGCAAAATAAAGAAAAGAAGTTCTATGTCTATGCTAACCATATTCGTCCAGGAGAACTTACTAACCTGTTTGGAGTTTCCCATTGACGAAAACAAGAGCAGCAAGGGAAAGAAATAATGGAACAACGAAGCCGAGAGACATCTTCCTTTTTCTGTCGAGGTGAATGAGATTAACGCTGAAATTATAAAGATATGTTTTAGAGAACATAAATATCTGAAGCAAGCCCTTGTGGACTTTCGCTTCGACTCAGTCATTTGTTCATTTTGAATTCTTTAATGTGAAAATAATTAAAAATTTATAAATAATTAGTAATTTATGTGAATGAGATTCTTAGTGCCACTCCAAATATATATATATATATATTAAAAAAAGAGTGGTCATGCAAGTTGTTACAACTTGTGAAAATTCAGAAGTCTAAACTTCATCTATACTCCTCTCATGATTGAAATTTTTCTCACATCATCTTGTCAATATCGATTATTAATTAAGTTCAATAAAATAATTAAAATATTTTTAATTTGAAATGAATCTATTTATTCACACTTAAGGGTATTTTTATAATTTTATTAACAAAATTAATAACCCAACTTCTTGGGGAAATGGAAGTTGTCAACAAAACATTAATTGAAGAAAATAAATATTCATGAGATGCTAATTAAAAGAATTATAAGGTGTGAAAGAAGTAAAATTTACAATAAGTATAATTATAGTTTATCCAATTTAAAATCATAAAAAATGATAATAGCATTAAGAAAGATAAATAGTAATACCTGCTTAGTTATCATAAAAAAGGATAAAATATTTTAAAATTAATTATAAATAACATTTTTTTACATGTAAAATGAAAAAAATAAAAAATATTATATTTTTAACAGAATTAAAAATTATAAGACATAACTTTTAACATGTTGTTCAATAATATAGATTTTTAAATCAAATATATATTTTTATATTAATTTATTAATTAAAATTAAAAAAATCTATCATGTTAAAATTAAAAAGGAATTTGATTTTTTTAGTTTTCTTTTGTTTAAAATTTAAAGATTGAAACTTATAAAATATGATTTTCATCTTTCAACTCAAAAAATAATAAAAATAAATTTTTAATAATTAATTATAATTTAACTTATAAAAAATATATCAAGTATATTATTCTATATGTCCGGTATAATAGGATATGTATAGCATATTTTACATCAAATTTTTTATATTTGATCAAATACAATATAATTATAAATATGTATCATTTTTCATTAATATCGTATCATATTATATGTCTTATGTGTCTTAGGATAATAATAAATATAAGTATCTATTTATTTAATTAAAAAAAGCATAAGAAAAGAGACATGACACTATCTTTATTAGTCCTTGGACTATAAATAGTAAGGTTTGATAGTCATTCCTGATTACTAGAAAGCCTCACGGACCAAGAGGCTACAGCTACTAGATGAACAATCGATTTGTAAAATTATACTATTATTTAACAAAAATAAAAAGAAAACTGAAAACCCCAGAAAAAAGTAAATATGTAAAATTTCAAGGGTATTTGAGTAAACTTGGTCATCCAATGCCAATAGCACTGACAAATTCCCGCCAAAAGAGCACACGCCTTATGCGGAGCCTTATTTCAAACACCTTTCCTTTGATTACCGGTTTGCGTTTCGTATTTCAGCTGAGTCTCCTTTCAGAAAAAGATCGCCGTCGCCATGGTAATTTCGATTTTCTTGAAACCTCCTGGTTTTTCTTTTCTGTGATTTTCCTTCATTTTCTCAGCTGCCAAACTTAGGTATAGTCCAATCTAACCTTGTCTTAGGTTTAAAGTTATAATCTCCTTTAAATTTGTTGGTACATGGTAATTTCCTATGGAAAATGAACCCCCTAACATTTTAAGATTTTTAATCTTTCAACTGTGATTCAGTCAAAGAAACGAGGTCTTTCATTGGAAGAAAAGAGGGAGAAAATGCTCCAGATATTTTATGAATCCCAAGACTTCTTCCTTGTGAGTATGTCAGTTTTTGAAAAATTGTTGTAAATCTGTTTAAGTACTGAATTTTTTTGTTAATTTCATGAAATTTTTCAATGGTTTTAGCTGAAGGAGCTTGAAAAACTGGGTCCCAAGAAAGGTGTGATTACCCAATCTGTCAAAGATGTTGTCCAAAGTCTGGTGGATGATGACCTTGTTTCAAAGGACAAAATTGGAACATCCGTAAGTACAAATTGATTGTATTACCATTCCCAAATTCATATTGAGAAATTTATCTCTATATGTAGGTAATTAATTGCTCTTATGATGAAATTCTAGGTATACTTTTGGAGCCTTCCTAGCTGTGCTGGAAATCAGGTGGTTTTGTTTTCTAGCATACCTTTCTATCTTATTATAGTTTTCATCTCAATATTGATGCAAGCATTTGAACAGTTGAGGAATGTGCGACGGAAACTGGAGTCAGATCTCCAAAGCAGTAAGAAGAGGTTCACAGAACTTGTTGATCAGTGTAACGAATTAAAGAAGGGGCGCGAAGAATCTGTAAGCATAAGTTTGTTCAATCACTTAACATTTCAATTTTGTTTCTAGGGATGACTGTTGGATGTAATATCTCAAATTTTGTGTATTTATCAGGATGAAAGAGAGGAGGCCTTGGCTGAATTAAAAGCCATTGAATTGAAGTATAATGAGCTTAAGGTTGAATTACATTCATAACTTTTGTTGTGTATCAAGAAAATATGTAGCGTCCATTCAAGTTTGTGACAATCATGGTCTAAATTTTCAGGAGGAGATGGGACAGTATGCGGACAATGATCCGGCTGCATTTGAAGCAATGAGTTTAGTGCTTATTTTGCATTGATACTTGAACTGATAGTTTCCTTATGGACCTCTCATCTTTGAGATTCAGCATTGTCTGAGTGTTTTCTACAGTTTAATAAGTTCAAAGCTCACTGATCATTTTATTTAATGTTGGCAGAGAAAGCAATTGAAGTTGCTCATGGAGCAGCTAATAGATGGACAGGTTCTTACCTTTCGTATAACGGGTTTCCTTTTCTTTTTCTCCTTTTTATGAGCCGCATAGATGTATATACTTGCACTTTTACTGTTATGCGCAATACTTGTTGGTCATCTTAATTAAATTGGAGTGACATTCAATATATTTTTTAATCATAATGGCAATATTTATATAGACAACATCTTCACTCTGCGGCAGTGGTGCTCAAACAACTTTCCTGAAGCCAAAGAGCAGCTAGAACACATGTACAAGGAGGTATATGTTTTAGTTTCCTCTTTAAGCATATGCACAAAGTTACCATATGACATGCAAATAAATCCAACCACCACTGCAAAGGTATCCCTTCTATTTACGCTGTGTTCAACAGTTTCTCTAGGGTGCACTACCCAGTGGGAAATGCTCGAATCCAAATCTCTGACAGTGAATTAAATCCAATGGAAATTTGTTGGGTGTGGGGAGTTACACATGACACAGAAAGCTCTGTCTATGGCTGCCTTAATTCATCATGTACCTTAGTTTGTGGGCATAGAACCAAGGAAACTGAATAATTTTAGACTTTATAGTTAAAAGAGAATGACTTTTACTCTGTTTTGGCCACTTCTCATTTAACGAGACTGATGTACATATTTCAGAATATTTTTTACAGAATGACCACTCTGTTTTCCTTATTGAACATATACTTGTTTCTAGGCTAGTCCTCTTGTTAGACTTGTTTCAATTTGTGCACTAAAGATATTGCTTTTCAAATCTTACTCCAGGTAGGAATTACAGATGATTTTGATTATGTGGAGTTGTCACCAGCCATTCCACTCCGTGCAGTTGGTGATCAGATGCTAGAAAGACAATTCTCAAATGGCATCATGTAGACCATCTTTCTCCTAACTGGACCCCCTGTCTGCAATATCATCTTTTCCCCCAACATTAACAACTGCTGTCTTGATCAAACCATAATAGTGGCCAAGATGACAATGGGTTCATCTAAGGCTTAATTGAACTAAACATGACCCCCAAGACCTAGTTGGTCATAAAAATAGTGTATGACTTGTTTAATTCCGAGTTTGACTTGGGTAGGAACAAGAAATTTCCTTTTCTCGTGATTTGCTCGATCTAGATTCAATTGCTTCTAAGCTTTCAGAGTGTGTTCCCTAACAATTTGCACTTGATTTATAGCTTCTTTGTCCTGTTCAATTATAAGGTCAGAAGGTTTAAACTTTGCACCTTGATCTTTCGTTATTTTCAGAAGTCAGAAGGAATATATTTGTATGAATTTGCACTTAAACGCATAGGTCCAAAACATAAGGCAACGGATGCAGCGAAATATGATGCCGAAATCGTGGTGGCGTGTTTGGGGGTACTTCCATCCCACCCCATCCCATTGTTGCTATCGCCGCCCAAGGCCCAGGCAGAGCAGAATCCTCTTTGAATTTTGAAAACCAACATGCATCAATGTAACAGATTATTAAAAAAGAAACGAAAAAAATCAAAACTCTATCATTTTTGCATGAAAAGGAATCATCATTCATTGGACGAGTCTAAGGAACACAGCCCAACGACACCTGGACTCTGAACGTGCAGCCGTTATTGGTCCTGCACGTGGCACCTTTCAACGGCCAAAAGTGGGGTTTCACAACCCTGTTAAATTGTGTTGTCTAACGCTATTGTAAGCCAGAGCGGCCGTTTCTTCGTTAAGATTCTCAAGTCTCTGCTTCTCGTTTTAAAGCCCCAAAGTCTAAAGTTTCCAAGCAGCAGCAGGGGTTATCCAAAAGTTCGTCAGGAGAAGAAAAAAAAAGAGAGAGGTAGAATTAGAGGTTGAAGATAGAATTGAGATGTTAAGAGTTCAGTTTGCAGTAATGGCCATTTTCGCATTTATATTGGCCCTGCTTATACCTTCCATCAACGCTCAAAGCCCCGCTCCTGCACCTCCTCCTACAAGCGACGGTTTGTTCTCTCTCTTTTTTGGTTTACTCGTGGTTTTTATTTTTTCTTTTTCTTTTGAGTGAGCTTTCATAATATCTAGTAAAGAAACTACTTTTGGTGTTTCTATGGTAACATGATATAGTCTATCATTTAAATTTGATATGCAGGGGTAGCAGTTGATCAGGGGATTGCCTATATTTTAATGCTGGTAGCTCTGGTGCTCACGTATATCATTCATTGACATCATGCCAAGATACCAATATGTCGTGATTGAGCCATGAATTATATGATATTAATGTGTTATATGTCTTGTACTAATTCTTTTCTATCCAGAATTTCGTTCTCTTATTCAGTTGCTAGCTTGTAATTTTTCTGTTTCTTTGCAATTGCAAATATTTTTTTTCTTCTAATGACCAAAGGCAAGCGGTTTCCTCCACTCAACTTCCACTAAGGAATCATCTAAAGAATCATGAGTCCTGACTCCGAGTTTTACCCGATTCGGCGGTTCACCATGCTGAAGTCTATCCCGCTGATACCCAACTAAAAAATATATAACCAAACCCCGCAACTCACTCCAACAGGGCAATGTTTGATTAGACTGTCGGGTGAAACCGCATGAAAACTTGTCATCTAGACCAAAAAACATAATGTAATTAATCTTTAACTGTAATCGCCTAGGTTTGCATTGGTCCAATATGACAGTTTGTATAGAAAGATCACGGTCAGGGGGTAACCCTCCTAGTCTTATTTCAAGTGTAACTATATTTGTTCAGCCTAAAAGAAATAAGTCACCATATTTTGCCTTGGTTTTCCTCTTTGGACACGTTAGGTTGGGTTATCACAATTGATGCCCGTCGTCTTTTTACATAATGGAGAAAATAATTGCAACATTGTGAGTTGAGAGCACATATCTTGGGACTAAAACACCATATTTTCTTTTCGAGGTGACATAAAGTCACTAAGTAGGGAGTCAAGATCTCTACAAGGATTCATGGAATACAATAAGTGTTTATTGAACGAACAAGAACAAGAAAATGAGTGAAATGAAGGCGTGAATTCAAGAAAGCGGAGTACAAATAAGGGGCTTTGTTTAGTTCATCCAATCTTTATGTACATTGTCTGTCAAACCTTAAATGCACACAAATTTAAAGTAGACGATTCAATAATACAATATGGCCTCTTTTTCATGTTTTGCAACATGACCTGCGCTAGTCCAAGCAACAAAATCAGTTCTCCTGTAGCCGCCTGTGGAGCAAAAAGAGTAACAAATAAATAAATTAGAACCAAAGGATTGTCCAATTATGGCAGCAACTATCAGATCAATTAGCAATGTTTTAAGCTCCATCCCTAATTCCCCCTAGAATGAATTTACCTTAAAGTGCCATCTCAGCCTGCAATGCAGCAAGTTCATCTTCCTCAGCTGTGCGCTTTTGAGGAACAGGACGAGCTGGTTGCCTGCCAGCAGGCACCTGTACTGGAGCTGCAGGAGCAGTTGTTGCAGGCTGGAGAAGCTGTTCTTCCAACTCAGCACCTTCAAGCTCTTCGAGTTCCGCTTCCAATTCATCCTACAGCATCAAAAGTTTTGGACTAATTGTTACATGTGCGTATATGCCAAACATGATAATTTGTAAGTGTAAATAATAGCAAGAAGAAAAAAAGAGTGCATCAGAGTAATAACCTCGTCAAAATCAGCTGCAGCTCCAATAGGAGTAGACAATGCTTCCTGAATCTGTTTCATGTTCTCAGTCTGTTCATTGATCTCATCCATTGTTTTGTCAACATCGTCTATATTCCTGTAAATAAAGCCATTTTCAGTAAAACAGTGAGTATTAACCACATGAAGGCCCAAGAATAAGTGCTAATTTAGATATCACAAACTGCATGTCAGCATGCTTCAGCACTATGGTGAATGATGATGCAAAAAGACAAATACAATGAAGAAAACCCTAAAAGCAAAACTTTGGCCAACGATAAAAATGGTACATGAAATATATTGGTTACATACGTTGCTTTCTGCATTGCCTTCATTGCAGAAGCTCCAGTTCTCAATGCATCCACAGTTTCAGTCGTGGCTTTGGCACCTTCTAACATTATCATCTGTAGAAGTTGATATATTTGAATAAGTATAGCATCATCAGAAACAGCGAAAAACTCAAAAAGCCTCTTAGGACATTGTTAAAGCACTAAAAATAACAGTATTCCAAGCTCACTTGATCATGAATACGAAGCTGGAAGTTTCCAAGCTGTTCTATTTGTTGTTCATAGAGTCTCTTCCTCTTCAAGCACTGTATAGCCGCTGCACAAGAGTACATCAATGAGTACTAAGAGTAAACAATATAAATTTGGCAATCAACATACACAACATTGTTTTAAATTGAGTCACAAATCAGATGATAAACCATACTGAACTATTTAATCTTTTTTACCACATGAGGACAAGATCTTTTGAGTGTGGAAAGTTCACATGACATGAGCACATTACACATCAGAATATTACAATCATATCTAAGCATCTTAATGTTAATCTGCTTTAGAACACCACTCAATGCCCAAAGAACATTAAAACTCAAAAGTTATTTGGAAACCAAACCACAAGCTTGCAATGCTGTAAAACATTAGAGTGAATTTTTTTCTTTTGGGGTCACTCTATGATGTTCCTGTCTTTCTTTTGGGAATTAAAATGAACAAAAATTGTGAGGGAAGGGGATATTATGGAAATGAACCAGCAAAAATTTCTAATATAAATACTAAAAAAATATGAAAGATTATCATGAAGCTCAGGCATAACTAAGCTACAAGCCATCACATGTGTCTGCAGCAAGATATGCTTTTATGGTCTATATCACATATCAAGCACAAAGAAACCCAAAATGAGAACTATATAGTTAACAAAGTGAAGTCATCCAGTTCCCTTGAAACTTGGTATATATTTTCTTCAACAAGGAAAGCCATGTAAAACTAGGAAAAGCAATAACCAATTGTGCATATGCATGGCAACCATACCTCTCTTATTTCTCCCTTTGGCAAATTCCTTGGCCTTTTCAACCTCTGCAGCAGCCTTTTTCACAAGTACTTTTTCCTTTTTCTCTAGCATTTCAAGGGTCTACATGATGGAGATCAATATAGGGTTCAGTTTAAGCAAAATATAAAGAGCAACAATGTAATTCAATCAGTGGAAACAAATAAAGAGAGCAATTGCATTTCCCGGCACCACACATGAAATAAAAAAAGCTGGAATTAGTATAACAATTAAGATTCTGGAGTTTGAATGCATTCCCAATACACAATCTATATACCCAAACTTCTAATTTTATAAACAACGACTCATACTCCCTTGTATTGTCAAACTTTAGCAAAGATCAGCAAGGAATATGCATATGAAATAAAAAATATTCCTTAATTTCATCCTTAAGACCTTTCACTTCATCTGAATGACACTACTAGATAAATTTTGATACAAGTATAAGGAACAAATTACAAGTATTAATCCATTTTTTGCAGAAACTATTACATTTATTACAAAATTTTCACCGCCAAGTCGTCAAACACCCCCTCCACAAGTGGCCAACTTTGTGAAGATGGACTGATGGACTACCAAGACTCCACTTCATATAATTTTGCCAGTTAAAATGTTTTCTTTTTTTTTATGAACTTGTATTCCACTTCAACCGTTTATTATATTTCTGCGATTGACAACAACCCTTCCAAATTTAATCAAACAATTTAATAATTCAGAAAAAAGGGTTACCATTATCAGACAGGAACCCATTTCTTTCAAGCATATCCCAAAAGTCCCAAGCAATTATGAATGCTAAATTCAACCCACCGAATTCACCAAAGGCAATTTTCGAATTCCACAATTCACACAGGGAACAATAAAAAAAATCGAAAACAAATAATTAATTTCCTATTAAACAAATAAAAAATATAAAGATCGCGAATATACCTCATTTAATTTGTCTAAAGTGGTTAAAGCATTGGTTTCCTGCTTGGGTTTCCCAAAAAGCCGGTTAAACATGATTAACTCGACGCGATTAAACCCCCGATCTTCTGTGTGACAACAATCACCAATACGATCAGATCAGAAGAAACCCTAATCAGACGATCAATCACTCAAAAACAGCTAAAACAAGTCCAATCAAAATAAAACAAGCATCAGATATTGCAAAACAACACTATAGGATAAGGGGAAAACTTAATCTAACCGGTACAATTGAGAAACTAGGGATCTGGGGAGTTCAGAGAGGGAGGG